ATACATTTGCGAGAAGACTTTCTCAATCATGAACCTCAATAAATCAAAATGGCGGACAAGACTCACCGATGAACATCTTCACTCAGTCCTGCGAATCTCAACTACCAACTACAAGCCAAGGTATCCCCGGATGATTGCTGGAAAATCCCAGCTACATACGTCCCACAGTAAAAATTATGTAAGCAATTATTATTATTATTATATGTATCATGCAGAAGAGCAAGTTTTCGATTTTGCGGCCCGCGAGACCTTACCCGACAGGCTATGCGGCCCTCTTGACCCAAAACTTTGGGCATCCCTGATTTAGGCGAATATTGGCCTACAGTAAAAAAAAAGTGCATTTTAAGCTAGAAACTCATTCACTGAGATGAAACGCGTCGTGGCCCTCGAAATATTCATTCCAACTTTGCAGCTTTCATTCCATAAAGTCGTTACTTCAAAGCTACCATCGTTTGCTTTGGCACCAGTGGGCATAGTCCACCCGTGCCACCTTGCGAATATGATGCGGCCGTGGCGTCCAGCAACTCGGGAAAAAGCAGGCTGAGGTGAAGAAAGGATTTTACTCCGAGTTCCATTAAGTTAGTCCAATCCGACTTCTAAGATCCACGGGTAAATCTTAGAAATACAGTGAAAATTTCTCCCTTTCCATGAACATTATGGATGAAAAATATAATCCAAAAAGGAACAAATTATAATATGGAGATAATTACTTTTAAGTGTGCAAACACACAATTTACGGTCTTGTGAAGAAACTGCTCTGAGACAGTTCATGAAAACTTAGCCTTTTTAAGCCTCGCTTTCTGCATGAAACCTTTGTTGAAGTATTTTCCTTTGCTTTTTCCTCCCAAAATGTAACAGAGACAACGAGTCTTTTGGGTCCTACGCAGTCCCCCTCCGGTTCTTCTGTCACTGTTAACTCTCGAACATTGCGGTCCATCGTGTCCCATTCAAACAGTGACATTTGGTGCTGCCTCAAAGATCCCTTCACCATTCCGAAACCAGAGACGAAGAACATTACTTTAGAGTACCTAACTCACTCTTCCTCAGGTCGTCTCCTTCCTGCTGAGGAACTGCCCAGTAGAGACCATTCAACGAAGTCTTTATCTTGTACCAGTTGCACTTTTTATGTTTTCTTTCTTCTTTCTCATCCTCGATGATGTCACCGAGAGAGTTTCCCCTGCTGCCTTCAGAGAGAGAGACTGGAGTCAGACTCTGACCCTGAACTAGACCTTGACCATGATCTTCAACTGTCAGGAACATTTTCTCCGTTGACCCCGCATTTCCATTCCTTGAAGCGAATTGAGGCACGGATAGCTTGAAGGCTGCTGACATTGCTGTCTTCAAGCCTGATGGACGACACAAAACCCAGTCAATCCCTGGATTCAGTCCTTACTATCATATCAGACTTTATCCAAAATTCACTGAATGGATCAAGCTCAAATCAGAGAGAAACTCTGCAGTTCGACCTAGGGTCACCATAGGGAGACTCACAATTTCCAAATTTTTTTTAACAGCTCCAATCTCATGAGTAAAAGAATGTCGATGTCGGACAGGCATTCATAATAATGAAACATAAATCTCAGTAAGATAATATGGGTCATTAAGGTAGTCAGGAAATATTAGGACCAATGTAAGGTGTGAGAAACGGCCAAGCAAATGCGAACTTAAGCAACTGGGAATCATATTATTTCGGAATGCTTGTCCAATGGGGAAGAATATGAGCGATGAACGTACTCTTGCTGGGGGAATAAGAACGACCGATTTCAGCAAGAGAACGGATAATTGGGAGACGGCTGACGTTACTCGTCGAGTTGTCCTTCCTCCTCTCGTGCTGATGTCGATGCCTTCTAAGCAGCGCATCCTTCACCTAGATTCCGGGATAAAACAAACACAAGTGTGTACTGTTTAAGTCCTCAAGGTCAGGGTTGGTTCTCTTCTGGGTAATCCATGCTCATACCTTCTCATTCAGGTTGAACTGTAGGGCATTTGTATTGATCCAATTCTCGATGGTCAAATCTGCCACCTGCTCCATTGTTTGAGCTTCCATGTCCAGCAGCACAATTCCACTCATGATGAAACTTCTCAACTCGAAAAGGGAATGGAGTGAAAGAGTAGCCACACGAGGCTTCGACCATCTGTTCCCGCCTTCCTCCACGTCTTCCTCAAACTTCACCCACCTAAAAATAAAAATCGTGCATCACGATATAGCCTATGTAAGCAAGTTTTCTAGTCATTTCTGAAGAAGGTTTCTTTCCGACACGGCAAGACTAGACAATTTCAAATTCAATTAGTCGGGGGTTGGGATAAGTATACCTGGCAGTTTCTCGCCATTCCATTTCTTCCCCCTCTCGGGTGAGCTCTTCCATTTCAGAAAACAAGGGATGAGACTCGTGCATGTCGTCTTCATTCTCACCCAAAATGAGCTGGACTCGTATAGATGGGGGTGTACCTGTTGGCAAGTACGGATAATAATTGGATTTAAAGTAATGGTTAAAAAATAATATAATAGATAACTAATTGAAAAACGAGTGAATAGGCGATTTTCTTCATGGAAAGTAGTTTCGTTCTTTTCGCAATCTTTCTTCAGGTCTCCTTGCAACGATGATTGCAAATAACACGTCGTAGGAAAGATCTATTCATGATGTTAGACTCGCCGCGAAAATCATGACTTGTGTTCCAGGATTATCGCCAGGACGATTAATAAAAATGGCAGGTCAGGCAGACGGCATTTGTCGTTACAGTCGTTGTATTAAGGTCACACTAACTCAGTAGAAAAGAGACAAAAACGCTAGAGCTACCCAGAATTCGAAAATTGAAATTGTCGTCCAGTGGCGCTTAAGATGTAGGCATTAAAAGTGGAGGAGAAAAAAGGAGCACGGGTCTTGCATGTCATGCGAGCCAGTAAATAAATTTATGGGCCAATGGATTTGACTCAATACAACCGGACCCACGCTGTCTCATCCAGTTCTAATGTCTCAGGTGTCAGTAATTGCCAAATAATCTGGTGCATGTAAGCAGTCACGTTTTTTGTACGAATACGGTCGGAAGTCAGCACGAACAAGAGGGTAGAATGGTAAAATGTCGACTTATGCATTACCGAGTTTCCAACCTCTCCCACACTGACGTGAGCCCCTGAATGTAATAGCTGCAGTAGCAAAACTTGTTAAGGAACCAACATGAATAGTGCTGTGGTTTTTCTTACATCAAACTGTTGGAACAGCTAGTCACATAATGGTTCCAGAAGTAAGCCCCTACTCCTGGAACAAATGCTGAGTAAAGCCACACCGCACCTCTTCTCGTCTCATAATAAGACAGTGGGACCTTATCCCGTAATCGTCTCATATTTCATAATATCTCCAGGATCATGGAGTCCCTTCTGGAACTGCTTTCTCAAGCGTTCTCTTGTCCACTTCATTCAATAAGGCCTCACTGCAGCATTTACTCGCATTGGTTCCATTATAGAATTTAGTAATGCTATTTATTCAACTTAAGTATTGCTGACTATTTGGAAGAGAAAATAGTAAATGGTAAACTGGCAAATAGTAAATTTTTAGAAACAACTAAATAAAAGGAGCTCTTGGAACATACTGTATATACCCACTATAAACTTATCTTCAAGGCAGGACGAAAAAAACGGTAGTAATTCGCAATAAAAAAAGCAACTGAAACAACACAATTTGTAAGTTTTTACCATCTCAGCTTAGGAGGGTTTTGTAATCGTAATGAGTAACATTTCAGTCCGATATCTAATGCTAATTACTTATTTTTAGCGACTGAATTTTCCAAAAACTGCCAGGTGGGAAATGCAACAGCTGTAAGGTGGCCAATACTCAAGAAAACCTCGACCCAACCAGTGGCAGCTCTTGATATGCAGCAATAGTAGTCCTTCAGTGGAGATAGGGGAGGCCGACCTTCTCTGTCTCCACTGACGAACTACAACTGCTGAATATCACAAGCTGCCACCCACCTAACACTTGCAACTCACTAACCTGGTCGCTTGTCCTCTTTCTCCTTTTGGGAGTCAGATGAATGACGCTTTTGATGATGGTGATGCAATCGGTGCGATCGGCGACTCCGATGCCCGTCAGTTCCAGGCACGTGGACACCCGAATAGTCAGTATGGGCTCTATGACCTGCAGACGTAACAAAAACAGGTAAAAACAAGAAAAGTTTTGGATAGACAGACGTGACCCCTTATGATACTTGAGGAGAAGCCCCCCCACCCCGTTTACCTAAAACATGAACTGTCCCGTTCAGGAGTCAAGAAAATCCCCTGTTGCCAACCGAGGCTACCACATTATTATTTTGGTACCAGATCAAAGTGCGTCTCGCGTAACACGATGCTATTCATTAGGAAAGTCTCATTGGCTACCAAGTACCCCGTAGGCGAGTGGCAAGGAGTAGAAGATAGACTAACATTAGGTACGGGACGGGCAGAGTGGATTCTAACTCCTCACTTCTCAAGTGAGCCCAGCAAACAATTTTAAACACATAACGTTGAATCAACGTTGAATTAACATTGAAAAAACATTTGGAACGTAGTTACAATGTTGGCCCAACGTAGCCTTGTTTGCTGGGTGGATGTGAGATAAAGGAACTCGAAACTCTTCCATCAACAAAGCGAACCTTTCGCAAATGAAAACAGGTCTTTTGCAGGCTCCTTGCTGGTCTAGAACTATTTCTCAACGCTATCGTTCTCGGAAATCAGTATGATTAATGAGCCAGAGGTACAACGCACAAGGTCGTAATGAAGAACTGCTCCTCTATGCTCCCAAAGAAACACGTTCCATCTTGCCTATCATCCAACAACACATTTTTAAATCTCATCGCGATAAAGTCTAGTTTCAATTAGCGAAGGATTATTTGTCCCTATTTTTCGTCTCTTAGGCTGAAGGGAAGAAGTTTTCTAATGATTCCTGTCGTTGAGGTTCCCAATGGCCATGACACACCCTTGTCACGACCTTCAGAACATGAAAAGCAGAATCCGGACCTCGAACAAGTCTTGCATTGTGCCCAAAGAGGGTATTATATATGAAAATTGAGGCCGAGACCTTGATAATCCTTTTCTCCATAAAATGGGCGGACGTTCTCGGAAGCACCAGGATCCCTTGCGGCCTCTTCGGCCACGGAACGGGCTGAATCAATCACCCACGGTCTGGAAAAGGGAAAACATCGAAAAAATTGAGAGAGAAATATCGAGAAAATTCCATTCCACTGCTCCGACCCAATTTGTTCATTTCTCCTCTTACATAACGCCGGTGCAGCCAGATATAGTCATCAAACGATCGACCTTGGAACCATCCTTCCATTTTTGAGTAAGAATACGACCGATGTGGCTTTCTAGTTCTTTAGGCCTACAGAATCATTAGTTGATGGGCTGTTGTGACACGTGCTTTTCAGGGTCGACGTCTTTCATCACTCCTGAATACTTCTCCATGCTCTTCATTCCTTCATACCTTCGATTTGAGTGTTGGTGTTTGGTATTAGCCTAGGAAGCAGAAACGATGGGTCTCTCGCTTCGTTCCATATATCGAATTAAATCCGGTAAAATGTTTATTTAATATCTCCTAGGGTCTAGAGGGGACAATATTGATGAAACGAGGCAAAAAAAAACGAGTACGGAAAACAGAATCTCAGAAATCACAATGCTACAGCAATAGGGGAAATCCCACGGAAGAAATCCTTGAACTGAAATGAGCCATGACTATTTGAAATTCAGGAAGCGTCTTCTCTCGCTTGTCTCGTCCAACGGGAAGTCGCACTTTACGTCGCACTTTACGATAATACCTAGAATCTATTAAAGTCAACGGGTTTCATGCTAACAATGATTAAAACTTGAGGGTCGGAGTTAAAAACACGTTTCGAAGAGTTAAGAAGGAAGGAGAAAAAAATTGCTGTAAAACTTGGCTCGGTTGGAAGAACGCAATTTGTATTCTACTATTTACTCGCGAATTATCTGAGGCCCACACATATTTGTGGGGCCTCACATGCTCAGATTCAAGATTTACGCACTCTATGATTTTCCAGCGCTGCAAACACACAAAAAAGCCAAGTAAATCAACGTCTTGAAATGCACAAGTACTGTGATATGCATGCACACTGCTCCTGCAATGAAAAACTATTCAGATACGACATCATCCTCATCTGACGCAGGAAAGACCTTGGGGAGTATTTTCTTAAATGGAAACATCATTTTCGGTGACCTGAGTTAGGGTAAATGATATTGAGTGCTTCGTGTTCCATGACACCGTGGAATCCCCGAGAGAAGCAAAATTAGAAATACGAGTAACTAGATAGATAGGAATAAACAAATTAAAGATATCGGTCACGGCAGCTTAGGGTCATATTAGAGATGGCGAGGCAGATACCTGTGGACGGATGGATCTATTAGGGGTTCCGACTTGGAGTAGACACCCATACTCTTGTTCAAAACACAATCTGGGAATGATTAGCAGGAGCACACAGCGAGAATGAGTGAAAAGAGAGAGAAGACAAGGGGAGGGAACATCGGATGGGGGAGGGTCTTTTCTCTCACACCCTTTAAGTCCTATCATCTTATTCTTGCTCATTAACGAAACGAGGACAGAGGAGAAGCCCTGAATCGAACAGCTCCTTTCCCACAAGCCGCAATCACACTTCCCTCACTACTCACGTCCATCCTTTCCTTTTCGCACTGAAATAATAGATACCTCGTACAGGAATTTTTTTGCGCCATGTCCCTTGTTATAAGTTTGGCTGTCAACGTCTTCAGCGAAAAACTCCACCTTTTTTCGTCAAAAATTTTTTTCTGTTTGGGGTAAGAGGGACCATACATTTACCCTTTCTGAATTTCTTCAACTTTCCACAGAATTTCGTGGAGCACTGTTAACGTTGTACATAAAAGCAAGAATATTGCGAGCAGATAAGACGAAACATCTGGACCTTGCCCCCTTCAGACATGGTATAAGAAATGTATGCGCATAAATTGAATTGGATATGATGTATTTTGGATATTTGAAGAATACTGCTGTTACCTGTTATAAAAATTTGTCAAAACAGAAGAAATGTGGACACTTTGCGATCCTGTAGAATTGTAAATAATAAGTTGAAATGAATACCTTGTCATCCATTTTAAAACAAAAATGCATTCAAGTAACTTTTAAACAAGAAAATTTAAAAGATTAATTTCAATTGACGCGCAGTAAATTCTGTCCTCCCAGGACCGACTCTTTCAAGTATTTTGTCCCTTCGAACAGGATATGATAAATTCCTGATGCGGGGGAAAAGACACGCCACTCTTTGAATTTGTAAATATTGATAATTATCGTACATTAATATCGCTATTAATAGCGATAGTAATGTACGAAGGTTGTACCGAAAGTAATTCGATACAAAATGAAAGTCATGACAGCCATGTCACAACATGGCTGGTATGCGGCCGCGTGTCTTTCATATGGCCTAGAGCTCCTCCATCCCGGGCTACCAGGCCTTAGAGCACCCACTTCATTCCCCTGATCTCGCCCCGTGTGATTTTGCACTGCTCCCAGTCATGAAGGAGACTGCACGGGAGGAGGTTCGCGAAACATCAAGAGGTGTGATCGTGTGCAGGGCTTTCCAGCGGTGGGTATGGAAACAGCCACAAGAATTCTTCAGGTCGGCTTTCGACAAGTGGTTGTATCGGTGGGAGATGGGTGTCGCCCTTCATGGGGACTATGTTGAGAAGATACCTGTGCCCCCTTGCAGTCCTCTAGAGTGACATGTGACCCACCAAGATGGCCGAATGACCTATATTCGAAAATGCCGCCATTCTGGATTGCTTCGTCATTTCCGACTGAGACCTGCACGTGCAAATTATATACAGAAATTCAAGAAAAGTTTCATGGTTGTGAGATGAGGCAATGCAGAGAAAACTTGCCAAATGTCCGAAGAACGGAGGGAAGAGGGCGGCGCCATTGAAGGCACCAGTTTCCTTTCCTTTTTCCTTCAAGCCGCTTCACTACAGAGACGTCGTTGAGAGACTGACTGCGAGGTAGTGGCAAGATGAGGTCTCTGGAAGCAATTTCAGAAAGTTGTTTGAGCATTTGTTCGATGTAGGGTAATTTGGATGCTTATCACGCATCAACTTGATGCATGGTAAGCATCCTGCAAGATTTGTGGAAACTCTCCTATATCAAACTTAACCAAATATTTAAGGAAAAAAACAAAGGGATATGGCAAAGTTGGCACATTTTAGTTTTGTAGACATTTATATCTATATAAAATGACTTGGGAAATTGTGAACTCTCAGGAAAGAGTATCTACGGTGGACGGATATTACTGGTAGGTACAATGAGTTGTCCCTCCTTCGTCACAACCAGTAACCACGACCATCCCCATCCCCACCATCTTGAACATGTTCTAGTGAACCCCTCCTCCCCCTTCATTCCCAACATCTCACAGGAGTTCTATTTCGCCTGCATCGCATACGACGAACGCTTAGAAGAAGGTACTGGACTGGGCTTTGTCATGAAGCTAGTCTTTTATTGGAGTCACATTCGCTCGAATGGAAGAGACCTATGAAACCTTGAAGTCCCTCCACGCTGCTTCAAGAAGTATACTAATCGACTCGCAATTAGGCTCTAAGTGAATTGAGTAACCCCTTCCGCTAATGATATTCACAGTAAACAAGTTATCACTCCATTTACGAGGACTTTTATGGATTTCACCTTCCCAATCCTCAGATGAATTGCCACATATCTCATTCCGAGGTCATGCCGGTTGTATTTCAAAATCGCCGCCACCATTGCACAGAACTAGGATACTACATTCAAACGCACAAAAACCAGAGGAACACCTTCCTGCGCAGATTCATTTCACCTTGCGATAGAAAAGAATGTCGCCACGGAGTCATGGGACTGGTGTCATTAGTTTAATCCACTTTACACCATAAGAAGGCAAAAGAATCCTGATGACAGACGAATGGAAATTTCAAGGACAAGATGCATGATGTCTAGATACTAATGATGAAAAGAGGATTGGGTGTGGAAGGCAACCAGACAAGCCGGCCTCCGCTAGTCCTTGGCCTGGGGAATCCGTTATATAACACATTAAGAGGTTCCTTTTTGTTTATTCCTTTTTTTCTTCTCACGTCGTCGGTTTTCTGTTTTCTCCTCATCTCCTTTCAGTCCAGTCTTCACCAGAGGTAGTAGTCGATCGAGTTGCCTCCACTCTCCTCATTCAGCAGACTCCATAATCCTTTTATGCACTTCCCTCTCCTGCATGTGAATCCACCGTTCCCCTCAGCCAATAAGAGTCTCTCCACGATACATCCGGGTTATAATAATGTCACTTCATATTCTCGTGAACCTCCTCGAGACCTGTTTCGATATCATGATGAAAGATGAAAAAAAGGAAACTACCTCTTTCCTATAGAATTCTTCCCTGTTCATTCTTCTAAACAGCACCAATGGACAAAGTGAAATGAGCATCTGATTGTATACCATATTTAAACCTTGAATTGATAGGGAAATATACCCTCTCCCAAGTTAGCTTAATCCGCAACCGCAATCCGGTCAAACATCGCACCTCCGAATCGCCCAAAATGTGAAATCACATAGATCTTTCTGCAATGGCTCACGAAGTAGACAATATGAAGTGAATAATAATTCAATAGTCAGTTGTGGGGGGGGGGGGGGGGAGATTCTATAGTGTGAAAGAAAACGTAAGGCGAAGAGGTATACAGTGTAGGGTCCTTCCATGACATCGCTAAAAAAAATTTGCAAATTAACGTCCGACCATCTCCGATGTTGATTAAGTCTGGTAAAGGCCTACATGGTTCTCCTGTCTTCGTACCTGGAAATTTCACATCTCTACCTTATCTTATGAATAGGGGAAATGCTACAGGGTGATCAATATTTAGTTACAAAGGTAACTAAATATTGATCAAATGGGGTGTATTTTATGGGGGGGGGGGGGGGGGGGGGGGGGGGGGGGGTATCTGGGGGGGGGGGGGGGGGGGGGGGGGGGGGGGGGGGCAGTTGCCCCTGGGAGAAAGTCTGGCGTCCACTTGAAGGTAATAATTTTCTCCCCTGATATCGCTTGGGTGGGGTTTGACTCTGTTGGGTTCGCTCTGTTGCCCTGCCCTCACCCCCCGATCCTTCAGCCAAAATACGTCAAAATGCATGCAATATTCATGTTACTCATAAAATATTTATGCTAAATCCTAGGTTAAGGTGCCAGTTCAGTGAGAATAATGTGCGCAATTCAAAATTGATATAAAAAGAAAGCATCGTAAGCTAAAAAACCCGATGCTACCCAGGAAAAAATATTCTATAGACTCTCTAAATAAAACATTATGTTGGGTCGTATATAATTCTATCATTTCTCTCATAGAATTATACTAAATCACTGTATGGAAATTCTATGGAGATTCTGTAGAAATCCTATCAAGAATCTCACCATATTTCTAGAGAATTCTGCGAAGACACTGTAAAGAAATTCTATAGTATTTCTATAGGGCTGTACGAATTTCCTTTCTGTCATTGTCTAGAAAGTGTAAAGAATTTATGTTGAATTTCATGAACTTCTGTAGTCAACGTATAAAAAATCTATTGAAATCCCAACAAATTTCTTTGAACATAAGTAGATGCAAATAGGGTTCCCAAAGGAAAAGATAAATAATTAAAGGTAGCCTTTTCTTCGACTTCAGCTCGTACAAAGGTCATCTATAATTTTACAGAATGAGAAGAACCTTTTAGAAGGCTCGTATCCGATGAACTTGTGAAAGCATTGGCATATGGTGGTGAAGGGATATGGCACAGGTCGTAGTTGTGAACTGCTGGAAAACCTCACGGGAATCATGCATCGGAGAGTCGTTCCATCACGAGTGGTGCAATTTTAAAGAGCTGCGCCGACTGGGATGAGGCTTTAAAACAAAAATGAACTTGGAATAGGAGAAACTGGACGAACCGAAACGTCCCTATCTGGCCTCCCATCTGGGAGGCCAGAGCCTCGAGCCCTCCCCTGGCTCAAAGGCGATGGATGAGGGACATCACAAAGTGCACACAAGACAGAAGTATACCTACCTCGTACGATAGCAGGGAGGCCGGCCTCACCGGTTGCATCGCGGTTGCTCGTTTCTAAAACAAAAATAGAAATATTGTAAATACCTGTGAAAATTATACAAATGAGTTACAGGCATCTTTAGTTTCTTCTGTGGTAACAACAGACGATTCCGGATGGCAAAAGGCGGCCCTCGAACACGGCAAAATAACTCTTGTCCACGCTTCAGGTAACTGGCATCCAAGGAAAGGTAGTAAAAAGAGCACGAGCCACGTCTGAGAGAACTGAGAAACGGTTATTTGACGGTCCTGGAACATATAGTGAGGGCTGCATTCCCAGAGATCAACATATTAAAAATATATCTAGGAGTGAGCGTAGGACAATAACAATCTTCGACGCAGGTGAGAAGACTTCAGTC